CCGCCTGCTAATGGAGCCGCGGCAGCCTCTTCAAAGCAGGAGGTCCCGGGCTGGGCCAGCTCCGTGCATTAAGCTCTGGGGGGAAGAAAGCAGAGACCTGGGCGTTTCATTGCAGCCTCTCCAGGCTGCATTAAGCCATCACTGGCCCCCGCCTCCGTCCCCGCCTCCATTAGCACTCGGAGAGGCCCTGGGTTGGCGTCGCAGGCTGGGTGGCCCGAGAAGGCTCAAAGCCCTCAAAAGCCATTAGATCCCCCGTGCTGTTTTCCCAGCCCTTCCCCCTTCGCTTGAGGGGAGAGGGCGAAGGCTTCGGGTGTGGGGTCTCCATGCAGCTCCCGGGCCTGCAGAGCTGGGGGCTACCCTGCATCCCTGGCCCACCACGTGTCTGCCCAGGGTCAGTAGGGCACTATCTCAGAAAGGGGGAGTTGAGGCAGAGGTCTGAGGAGGGCAGGGTGGGTGGGAGAGCAGGTGAGGCGGGGTCTGAGCCAGCTAGTTCACACCCTCCTCCCCTCCCCCTTTCCCCTCCTTCCAGAAACCAGTGGCCGCAGGGTTGTGTCCCACGAGGTGGTGTTGGGGGGCAGGTTGGCCACCAAGACCAGCTTCTCGCTCAGCCGCCCAAGCAGCCCCCGGGTGGAGGACCTGAAAGGTGAGGACTCGCCCCGCCTGTGCTCTGCCACATGGTGCCTCGCGGGCCCCCACCAGCCGCCTTTCCCGGTGGTGTCCACCACCCCGTGGGCCATCCCAGGCAGGGGCTGACCACCGTGCCTGTCCACAGGGGCTGCCCTGTACAGCCGCCTCAAGGAGTACCTGCTCACCCAGGACCAGCTCAAGGAGAATGGCTACCCCTTCCCGCACCCAGAGCGGCCCGGCGGCGCAATCATCTTCACAGCTGAGGAGAAGAGACCCAAGGACTGTGAGTTGCTGGCCTTCAACGGCCTAGGCGGGCAGGTGCGGGACGTGGGCAAGGCCAGGCATGTGGGCCCCAGCGTGAGCCTCAGCTTCCGCCCGGGTCCCCCCCACAGCTTCCTGCAGGACCTGCTGCCGCTGTGGCACCGAGTACCTCGTGTCCTCCTCGGGCCGCTGCGTCCGGGACGAGGAGTGTTACTACCACTGGGGACGGCTGCGCCGGAACCGGGGTAAGGCCTTACCCAGGCCCTCCCCCGTCCCACCCATGGTCCCTGGAACCTGGGCCTTCCCTTGAGGCCCCCGGAACTGGTGTGAGGCCTTACCCAAGCCCTCCATCCCACCCACGGTCCCTGGACTCCACTGTCCCGGGCAGAGCCAAGGCTAGCCCTTGGCCTCATTTTCTCTCCACCCATTCTTTATGCAAAAGTAAGACAAGAGCTTTCCCATGACAGTGTTCAAATGCCACCAGCTGAAAGGCCCTGTGTCCCTGTCTTCCTGTGCCCGTGGTCCATGGAAATGTGGAGGCTGCTGGCCACATGAGCGGAGGGCTTGTCCCACCCTTGGCCTGCTGGTTCCATTCAGTCCCCCACGCAGCCACACAGCCATGTTCGGGGCACATGGCCAGCCTTGCACAGCCCTGCTGCGGCCCCTAAAGCCATCACCTCGGGGGTACCTGGAGGGTCCTGCCCAAGGCGGCGCTGCCCGAGAGGTCTCTGCAGAGCGCGCTGGTTTCCCTGGATCCAGGCCTGGGCGTCCTGGCTGCCAGACTGTTGCCGGGGCCTGGTCTGCTTCCAGCTCTGCCAAGAGGCTGAGGTCTCCTGTCCTCAGTCTTTACTTTCTAGTAGGGCTCAGCAGATGCGTGTGGTCAGTGCCCCGGGGGCTGTGGAGTGGGCCTGGCCGGGCCCTGACTGTCTGTGTCCCCTGCAGTGGCCGGAGGCTGGGAGACCCAGTACATGTGCTGCTCGGCTGCCGCCGGCTCTGTCGGCTGCCAGGTCGCAAAGGTGAGCCCTGGCATTCCGGTCCCCTCTGCCTGTTCTCAACAGACTTCTGCTTCCCCGTCGCTGGTCTTGGGTCTCAGGACACAGCACAGTCTTGGGCTCAGGGTCTCGGCCCCTGGGCAGCCTTTCCTGTGTTACCCAGAGAGCGTAGTGCCCATAGGCCCCAGGCCCCAGGCCCTGTCCCCGGCCACTTCCCATCCTGGGAAGCCGTCCTCCCTGTGTCTTCTTGGCAAGCCCCCTTCCCCACCTGCTCACCAGGGTCCCAGCCAGTGAACGGGCGTGATGGATGGATAGGACAGTCCCGAAGGGCTCAGAGATGTGCTGCTGCCACCCCCGCCCCCACTGCACCCCGAAGCCGCCCTCACCTGCCTTCTCCACCCCCAGCAACATGTGCAGGATGGCCGGAAGGAGCGCCTTGAGGGCTTCGTGAAGACCTTTGAGAAAGAGCTCCCAGGAGACACCCACCCAGGGATCTACGCCCTGGACTGCGAGATGGTGAGGCCGTTCTCTGCCCAGCCTCAGGTTTAGGATTGGGGAGGACCTGTCCTGGCGCGGCTGCCCCGTCTGGGCCCCATCTGGGCCTGGCTCACCGGCCAGTGCTCAGAGGGCTTCTCTCGCAGCACCGGTGCCTGCAGCTCCTGCCCTGGACCAACACCCCATACTTCCCAGCACAGCCAAGCCCTCCAGGCACTGGGCCCCGGCTCTGCCTGTGAATGGGAGGCAGGAGGGCTTTGGGAAAGGGGGTTGCTGAGGTCACACCCTACTCCGCTTCTCCTAGAAGCCCCACAGAGTCTCTGGCTGCTGCCTCTGCCTCACAGGGCTCTGGAGACCTGAAGGTGGGCAGGGGGCGGGAGGGAGGGAGGCTGGTCCCCGGGGCGCGTCTGAGGTGCGTCCCTCGCCCGCAGTCCTACACCACGTACGGCCTGGAGCTGACGCGCGTCACAGTGGTCGACACGGATGTGCACGTGGTTTATGACACCTTCGTGAAGCCTGACAACGAGATTGTGGACTACAACACCAGGTGTGGCCAGTGCCCTCTGGGAGCCGGGACCCCTCCCCGCCTTTCCTCCCCAGGAACCCACCCTCCTCGCCCTGCCAGCCAGTGCTTCCAGGCTGAGCCCTGGCGCCCCTCCTGCCTGCTCCCCCAGGTTTTCGGGGGTGACGGAGGCTGACCTTGCTGACACAAGCGTCACACTGCGTGACGTCCAGGCCGTTCTGCTGAGCATGTTCAGCGCTGACACCATCCTCATCGGACACAGCCTGGAGAGTGACCTCCTGGCCCTGAAGGTGCCCTACCAGCCCGGGTCCCTCGCGGTTCTCCAGCAGAACCTGCGCAGGCCCCACATGCACTAACCTCTGCCGCTGCCCGCAGGTCATCCACAGCACCGTGGTGGACACGTCTGTGCTCTTCCCCCACCGCCTGGGCCTCCCCTACAAGCGGTCCCTGCGGAACCTCATGGCCGACTACCTCAGACAGATCATCCAGGACAATGGTGAGTGCCAGCGCCTGCCCTGGGGCCATCCCTATGCAGGAGCCGGGTGCTCACCGCATCTGCCCCGCAGTGGACGGGCACAGCTCCAGCGAGGACGCCGGCGCCTGCATGCACCTGGTGATCTGGAAGGTTCGAGAAGACGCCAAGACCAAGCGATGACGCCTGCCCGCCTCCTGCCCGCCTCTCCTGCCGCCCCGCTGGTCCTTAGCCCCAGGCCTCTTCCAAAACAGTGCAATAAATCTCCGGTAACCCGTCCACCTGGCCGAGGCAGCCCAGAGCAGCGGGACAAGCTGGCGGCCGGAGAACGCCCAGCCCAGCCCACCCCCGCTCACGTCCTGCGCACCCCTCCGCCCGTCCCCACCCTCTGCCCCCAGCCTTCTGGCGTCTCTAGAATTGCTGCTGACAGCGACCAGGACAGAGCCCGCCCCCCATCAGCCCGCAGCCCCTCCTGCCCCTCCGGCCAGGCCCTCACTCCCTCCCAGGTGGTGGCTGGCACCTCTGCTCCTCACATGGGTCGCGGGGCGGGCTTGTCCCGGGTTTGTTTGAGACAGTCTTTTTTTTATTTTGTATTGTTATTTTTATTATTTTTAATTTAAACCTGATGACTTGCACAGCACCTTTCCCACCGGGAAGAGCGGGCCTGCTGCCTTCCCTCCTGGGGGCTGGGGGTGGGACAGACCCCAGTGGGGGCCCGCCAGGGCCACACTCAGCCCAGCATGGGCTGGACCCGCCTCCGTGCTCCAGGGGCTGGCCTGTCTTCGGGGCGCCGGCTTCCACCACTCGCCGCCCCACCCCTGCACTCCGTGACCTCTGAGAACCCAGCCGGCCCCTCATTAGCCCCAGGGCCTGCGGTCCGGATGGAGCCCACAGGCGTCTGGACACTGTCTTCCCGCCAGAGCCCCGTCTTCCTCTGCGGGGCTCTCCGGACCCCTACTCCCGTCACCTCCAGGCAGGGACAGAATAAATGTTTGTATGGATTTTAGATTTGCTGGTCCTGGTCTTGATGCCTGGTGAGGCCTCTGCACGTGGCCCGGGAAGGTCACTGTTCCTACAGCTGGGACTGATTCTCTTCCCACCAACGCAGAGAAAACCGCGAAACTTTCCCTCACAAAGCTGGCCCAGTGCTGGCTCCCCCAGGGCTGGGCCACACCTGCTGTGGGGTCCCCGTTCCAGCCCCAGATTGTGGGGCCACCATTCTGCAGGTTTTAGTGCCACTTGGACAGTGGGCAGTGTCCCCAGCCCTACGTGGAGCTGGGCCCTGTGCACGGAGCTGGCTTCCCTCTCCACCTCGCCCAGGGATAGGGGCCGCATGCTGACGGTCAGAGGGGGTTAAAGAGACTGGGAGCTGCTGCGTGTTGCCTGTCGAGGGGATGGAGCGCAGACACGGAAAGCTGCTCCGCCCTTGCCAGGAAATGCCACATGTCATGCGGTGCACGCACGGCTCCAGGCAACCTTGGTTGCATCGGGACCCCATTTGGGAATGGGAGGCCAGGGGTGTTTAGGCCCTACTTTTTATTCACTTCAAGTAGAAAAAGTGAGCCTCACAGCACAGGACCCAGCAGTTGAGGGCAGGTTGCCTAGAGGGGGTTTCCTGCCACCCTGGCCTTGGGCTTCTGCTGAAGGGCAAGGCCAAGGGCATGGGGCCCCAGATGAGGACGTGGGGGCCCTCCCCAGAGGACTCCATCCCAAGGCTGCAGAGGCAGAAGGGTTACCTTCTTGGTTCTGGGCTCTGCATCCCTCCTGGGGGACCGTGGTTAGGCCAGGCCCTTCCACCCTCGAGGGCTGTTCTTGTGACGAGGTGACGCTTCCCACCCCTTCTATAAAGGAGTTTTCTTTTTCTTATTTTTGAGACAGCCTTGCTTTGTCACCCAATCTCAGCTTGCTGCAGCCTCTGCCTACCAGGTTGCTGGGATTATGGCCTTGCCATCACACCTGGCTAATTTTGTATTTTTAGTAGAGATGGGGTTTCACCACGTTGGCCAAGCTGGTCTTGAACTCCTAACCTCAAGTGATCCACCTGCCTCGACCTCCCAAAGTGTTGGGATTACAGGTGTGAGCCACTGTGCCTGGCCCTGTTTTCTAAATAAATGGCACAGGCGTGTATTCACTCTGTTTCTGTCCGTTCCCGTGTGATGTCTGCCTCCCTCTTCCCAGAACGCACCTGGTGCCTCAGGACATAGCCCACGGGGGTCCCAAGGCTGGCCAGCACTGGCTTAAGCCCCCAGCGACCTCCTTCAGCTTGCGAAGCCACCTGTTGCCACTGGAGGCTTCAGGGCCTTTGCACAAGTGCCCTGGGCAAGCTCCTGCCCCCAGATAGTGCCCCCTGTGAAGGCTGGGGAGGGGGAATCTGGTCCTCACAGCTGCACCCAACCAGGTCTCTTCTAAAGTTTATGAGAACAGTGTGTTCAAACCCCCACCCCCGGCTCTTTTTCATAACCACTGGGCAAGCAAGCGCAGGGGAAGTGTTGAAAGAATGAAAGGAGAGAAGTCAGACACAGTGGCCTGCCTGCCTGCCTGTGGTTCCAGCTACTCTGGAGGCTGAGGCAGGAGGATCGCTTGAGCCTAGGAGGTGGAGGCTGCAGTGAGCTCTGATCACACCACTGCACTCCAGCCCGGGTGACACACCGAGACTGTCTCTAAAAAAAGAGGTTCCCTGGCAACCTCCAGGGCCAAGCAGACTTCCAGTTTGGGCTTCCAAAGAAAAGAGGGTTTGTGATCACCCAGAGCCCTCAGGTGTTTGCCACTTTGATGGGGGAGGTGGCCTCCCTATTCCCCTCCACCCATGTTTGCCTCTCCCTTTGGGTCCTCACCCCAGGTAGCCTCACTCTTGGGGGCATTTCATCTTCAGCAGCCCCTCCACACACACCTGTCCCTGGCTCCGGGCCCTATCTCTGGCCTGGACACGCCCTTGCTTCGTCGCTAAACTCACCCCTGCCACTTCTTCAGTAAGGATCCCTGAGCCCCTGCCACCTGCAGGACAGAACCCTGCGGGCTTCCTCCTGGCCTTAGGGTGGTCTCAATGGCTATAACCGCCTCTCCCCAGCCTGGTGCTCAGCCCTGCATCTGTGCCTAGGAGGCCCTCGTTGCACGTGTATGGGATGAACGAACGAACCCAGGACACGAATCAGACACGACTTACATACCTGCCTTTACCTGTGGTCCTTCCTCCTGCACTCTGCCACGCTGTTCCCACCAGTCTCAGCCACATCAGGTCTGCAAGGCCCATTCCAGCCTGACCCTAGCCCACCTTTACAAGAACCCCTCCAACCCCTCCCTGCGGTGCAGGTCCTTTCTGCTCCCCAGCCAAGCCCGGCCCGGCCCTTCCCTGACACCCTCTTCCCTTTCAGGCCCCGCCCCTGCACTGGCACTGCTCCCTAAGGCCCTCCCAAGGCCCTGCCGTCTGTCCTGGACCCACCCTGAGCTTCCTCCTACCCTGACCCTGCTGTGCGCGGCCCCGCCTTCCTCCTTGGTCACGCCCCCGGTCCTAGCCCCGCCCCTACCTTGACCCAGCTTTTTAAGGCCATGCTCAACCTCGCCTCCCTCTTTGGCCACGCCCCTGGATCCTGGTCCCGCCCCTACCTAAACCCTGTTTGCGCGTCCCCGCCTCCCTCTTTGGACACGCCCCGGGTCCTGGTCCCGTCCCTACACTGACTCTGCTCAGCGACACCCCCATTCGGCCCCGCCTTCCTCCTTTGTAACGGCTCCGGATCCCCGCCCCTGCCGTAACACTGCTCCGCAAGGCCATGCTCAACCCCGCCTCCCGCTTTGGCCAAGCCCCTGGGTTCTGGCCCCTCCCCTACCTAAACCCTGCTTGCGCGGCCCCGCCTCCCTCTTTGGCCACGCCCCGGGTCCTGGGCCCGCCCCTACTCTTACACCACTCGGCGACACCCCGCTAGGCCCCGCCTTCCTCCTAGCCCCCTCCCCACCCCAGACCCAGGCGCCGCCCCTTGGATGGCTTGGCTCTATCCTCGAGTCCCCGCCCCCTTCCTGGCCTTGGCCCCACCCACCCGTCCAGGCCCCGCCCCCGGCCCCCCTCCGGGCTCCGAACCGGCTTCACCTTTGCCTGGGCCGGGCCCCGAGACCCCGCCCCCCGTTTCAGGACCGTTGGCACCGGGCTAACGGTTCCACCACGTCAGCCGCTCTGGACGCCCGCGGCCTGCCCCAGGCAGCCTGGCCCCTCCCTGCCTGTCCTGCGCCGGTGATTAGCTGGTGCTCCCACAGCTGAGCGTCCCTGGGAGCCCGCGCACCCTCTCTGGGCTCCACCGGGGCTGAGAGCTGGGGTCGTGGCAGCGAGGGTAGAGAGGTCGCCCCTAGAGGTTAGCGCGGTCGGGGCTTGGGGGCGGGTGCGGACAGCCCTGGACTTTGGAGCCCTGTCCAGGGCGGTCCTGTGCTTCTGTGGCTGCGGGAAGACGGGGTGGGGGGCTTCCGAGTAATGGGGCGTCCCGGTTAGTGAGGCGGCAGGAAGCCAGCGCTGTGTCCGTGTCTGTTTCTGCCCCCAGATACACTTTGAGTGGATTCTGGCCATTTGAGCATTCTCTCCAACTCTCCGACCCCCAGTCTGCCCCCACGGGGGTCTCTCCACCACTCCCCCGTCCTACAGCCTAAACCCCTCTTCGCCCTGAACCTCCCTTTTCCTCATGTGGTGAATGGGCACTGGCCCCGCTCAGACTCCCAGGAGCACCAGAGCTGGCCCTGAGCCAAGTCCTGCCCCACCAGGACCTGGGGACACAGGTGACTCAGACCTGACTCAGGAAGGCTCAGGTCCTGCTGGCATCCGCGGAGGTGGTGAGAAGGTGATCAGAGCTGGGATGGGGCACTCCCCAGGCAGAGGGGCACCCCAGAGGAGGCACAGGGCCCAGCCTGGTGGGGCTGGGAAGTATGAACGGAGACCAGAAGGGTGAGGACGGGCGCCCCGGGTCGCCGGAACCCAGGAGCAGGGGCTTGGTGAGGAGGGCACTGCTAGAGAGTGGGCAGGTGGGGGGCCAATTGCTAGCGTCTGGGGTGGTTTGCCCGTTCCTCACGGGGGGCCAAACCAGGGCCCCCCGTGCAGAGCTAGAGCCAGACCCACATTCCTAAACCTGCTAGTGGAGAAGATTCCAGGATCTTCTGACCATGTGCTGTCTGCCTCCATCGCCCCCATCAGAGTTATGCGCCCAGCCAGGGGGGTTAGGAGGGGGGATGGCCATGCCTGACCCTCATGCTGTGTTTTGAGATATAACATATAGCCCGGGGATCCCATCCAGTCAGTCAACAGACGACTGAGCCTCTAAGCTGGTGCCGCGTGGGGAGAGGGGCAGGAGGCCGTCAGCGAAACCAGGAGGAGGTGAGAGTGGTCCTTCCAGGAAAGGCGAGGTGTGGGGAGCAGTGGCCGGAGTCTGGCATGGCCAGCGGTAGAGTCCTCCTAGGCTGAACTGTCGGGAGGCAACAGGGGTGGCTGCCGGGGGAAACTGGCAGATGGGTTGTTGCAGGTTTGGGGATCATCTTGGGGTCCCCTGGGTCTCAGGGTGTCCAAGGCAAGACACACAGCCAATGGCTGGACATTCAGAGCCTGGGGGGAGGCTGCAGATGAGTGTGGGAGGTAGCATTTGAGAGGGTCGACCCCTAGGCCGTGAGCTCCTTGAATACGAGTGGTGCCCAGCAAGGGCTGGGGCCGCTGCTGTGACCCAGGGCCCCTCTCTCCCACAGCCCCACCAGCATGGGCAGCCTGGCCCAGAGAGAAGATCTCCAAGATGATGAGGACAAGAACTCAGGTGCTGATCCTGGGCGGAGGGGGTGGTGCAGATGGGAGGGATTACGAAGCGCAGGGCTGGCAAGGCGCAGCGGCTCTCGCCTGTAATCCCAGCACTTTGGGAGGTGGAGGTGGGCGGATCACTTGAGGTCAGGGGATCGAGACCAGCCTGGGCAACAGAGAGAAACCCCGTTTCTACTAAAAGTACGAAAATTAGCCGGGCGTGGTGGCGTATGCCTGTAATTCCAGCTACTCGGGAGGCTGAGACAGGAGAATCACTTGAACCCAGGAGGTGGAGATTGCAGTGAGCCGAGATTGTGCTACTGCACTCCAGCCTGGGTGACAGAGCGAGACTCCATCTCAAAAAAAAAAAAAAAAAGAAAAAAAAAGTGCAAGGCTGAGGCTGAGATGGGCTGGGGCCCCCCAAACTTGCACGTCAGGCCTTGCCTAGGATTCTCATTTGCTTTCCAGTAGTCCCCAACCCTAGTACTGACTGGGTTTGGGGTATTTGACTCAGGATTTGGGGGCGGCATGCCCAGAAAGATCTGGGCTGCCTGCTGGATGTATGGCCTTGGACACCCGAGAGCCCATCACTGAGCCTCAGTTTGCCTCCCTCTGTAAAATGTATAGGCCTGAACGGGTCTCCCAGGGCCTGTTCTCTTCGTCTCAGGACTGGCCCATGGCCGGGGGTGTGGGGGGGTGGCCAGTCTCACAATCCACTTGTGCCCACGCCACCTATGGGCAGGGGTCTGGTAGGTCCCTAGGTGGTGCCTGCTGCCCGACTGTCTTTAGGGGCTCCGACATCTCTGGCCTTCCCGGCACCTGGGTCCCTCGGGCCCCATTAGCCCTCCTCTGGGCGGTGGTTAGGGCTGTTTTTCCTGGCCCTCGAGCTCCAGTGACGCCCGGCTCTGCCCTGGTTACAGCATTCACCTGGGAGGTCCAGGCCAACAACCGCGCCTACAACGGGCAGTTCAAGGAGAAGGTGTTCCTGTGCTGGCAGAAGAAGAAATACAAGGTGGGCAGCCCCTCCCATGCCTCCCCGGCCCCCAGAGGAGCTGCCGTGGCACCCCTGGGGAATCTATTTTTTGCACGTCTTGAGTCCTGCCTCTGCTTGTATTTGCTTGATATTTTTCTTTTCTTCTTTTTTTTTCTGTTTTGTTTTGAGACGGAGTCTCGCTCCGTCGCCCAGGCTGGAGTGCAGTGGTACGATCTCGGCTCACTGCAACCTCCGCCTCCAGGGCTCAAGCAATTCTCCTGCTCTGCCTCCCGAGTAGCTGGAATTACAGGGGTGTGCCACCACACCCGGCTAATTTTTGTATTTTTAGTAGAGACGGGGTTTCACATTGGTCAGGCTGGTCTAGAACTCCTGACCTCAGGTGATCCACCTGCCTCGGCCTCCCAAAGTGCTGGGATTACAGGTGTGAGCCACTGTGCCCAGCCTCTTTTTTCTTTTTTCTGTTTTGTTTTGAGACAGAGTCTCGCTCTGTCGCCCAGGCTGGAGTGCAGTGTTGAGATCTCGGCTCACTGCAACCTCTGCCTCCTGGGTTCAAGCGATTCTCCTGCCTGAGACTCCTGAGTAGCTGGAATTACAAGCACTCACCACCATGTCCCTCTAATTTTTTGCATCTTTAGTAGAGATGGGGTTTCATCATGTTGGTCAGGCTGGTCTGGAACTCCTGACCTCAAGTGATCCACCTGCCTTGACCTCCCAAAATGCTGGGATTACAGGGGTGAGCCACCACATCCGGCCGGTATTTTTATTTTCATCTCGAGGACCGAAGCGCCCGTCCTAACCAAATCATTGGTTTGGCACAAGAGTTCTGGGTGTCTCATTTGCCCTGTCCCAGTGCACGTGACGGTAAATTAATACCCAACCTGAAAGTACAACGTGTCCATCGGGCCCTGAAATCCTCCTGGGTGTCCTGCTTTGGGAAATGCTGGTCACAGCTCAACGAGTCTTTGCACTCAGTAGAAGCTCAATTAATGCTGGCTCCAGGCTTTTGCATTACTGAGCAGGTGCTCAGTAAATGCTGCCCGGGGCCTTGCATTCAGCAGGTGCTCAGTAAATGCTGCCCAGGGCCTTGCATTCAGCAGGTGCTCAGTAAATGCTGCCCGGGGCCTTGTATTCAACAGGTGCTCAGTAAATGCTGCCCTGAGGCCTTGCATTCAGGAGGTGCTCAGTAAATGCTGCCTGGGGCCTTGCATTCAGCAGGTGCTCAGTAAATGCTGCCTGGGGCCTTATATTCAGCAGGTGCTCAGTAAATGCTGCCCTGAGGCCTTGCATTCAGGAGGTGCTCAGTAAATGCTGCCCTGAGGCCTTGCATTCAGGAGGTGTTCAGTAAATGCTGCCTGGGGCCTTGTATTCAGCAGGTGCTCAGTAAATGCCGCCTGGAGCCTTGCATTCAGGAGGTGCTCAGTAAATGCCGCCCGGGGTCTTGTATTCAGCAGGTGCTCAGTAAATGCTGCCTGGGGTCTTGCATTCAGGAGGTGCTCAGCAAATGCTGCCCGGGGCCTTGCATTCAGGAGGTGCTCAGTAAATGCTGCCCTGGGGCCTTGCATTCAGGAGGTGCTCAGTAAAACGTGGCTTCAAGTCTTTGCATTCAATAATTAACCCTGGCTCCAGGTTTTGAATTCAGCAGGTGCTCAGTAAATGCTGGCTTGAGGTCTTGCATTTATTAATAATGCTGGCTTGAAACTTTGCATTCAGCAGGTGCTCAGTAGGTGCTTAATGAATGGTGTCCCATAGCCCAGAGGATTCTGGGCGAGGCCAAGTGGGGCAGGTCTGGCCTTGGGCACCCCCATCCCCTGGCCTGGAAGGCACCACCTGCCACGTGGCCTGCGGCTCTTGTTCCAGACCAACGTCATCCGCACGGCCAAGTACAACTTCTTCTCGTTCCTGCCGCTGAACCTGTACGAGCAGCTCCACCGGGTGTCCAACCTGTACTTCCTCCTCATCATCATCCTGCAGGTGAGGCACGTCGCCTCCTGCAGGAGGTCCCCCCAGCCACCTGGCAGCATCGATGTATTTGTCTATGTGATGGGTGGGTTCATGTGCCGCTCCCCACAGACTGGGACCCTCATCACTGAGTCCCTACTACCCTGCCCAGGGCCTGGCACACAAGAGGTGCTCAATACACATTGAATGATGAAGGTGGATGGACGGACCCTCCAGGTCTGATGACGGCACCCTCTCCACGCCCCGTTGGTTCCTGCTGGGCAGGGCTGGGTGTCGGGAGGCATAGCCGTTCCCCAGCCTAGACAGCCTCGGCCACGCAGCTCCCCTAGCCCCCGCCCTCCTAGCTGACCTCAGAGGCGAGGGGGAAGGAGGAGCCCAGAGCATGTTCTCTGAGACCTGCAGAGTCACATCCTGGTACCTGGGTGGTCCAGGCCAGCATGGGGCCAGCATCTGGCCAGGGGCGCTGTTTTCAGAGCACCCACCCTCACCCAACATCTTATTTCGGTTCTGGATACAGAGGTTCTCCTTTTATCCATCGAGTCATTCAGCATTAATGGAGTAACTACTGTGTGCAGGCCACTGACCGGGCACCAGGGTGGGGGATGGTGGAGCTCACACCTACAGGGTGACCTGGGGAAGCAAGAACACGGGAGGGAGGGGGAGCAGTGAGGGCCAAGCTTGGGGCTGGGGAAGGCTCCCTGGAGGAGGCAATGTGGGAGCTGGGCTTGGACGGGAGAAGAGGAGTTTGCTGGGGAGACGAGGCGTGTGGGAGAAGTTCCAGGCAGGTGGAGGGATGCCAGCGGTTTGTCCTAAGGGCTGGGGGGTACAGGTGATGGCTGGAGCCCGGCCAAGGTGGCCAGCAGATGGTGTCACATGGTGTGGGGCTGGGTTGGCTTGGTGGAAGGGCAGGGGACGGGGGAGGGGGCTGGTGTGACCCTTCCTGTGGCCCCCTCCACGTCAGAGCATTCCCGACATCTCTACGCTGCCCTGGTTCTCGCTCGGCGCCCCCATGGTCTGCCTCCTCTTTATCCGTGCCACCCGGGACCTGGTGGACGACATCGTGAGTGCCGTTGGACGCAGCTGCCTGGGGGAGGGGGCGGGGACGGGGGGGGGTCTCTTGAGCCCTGGGTGAGAGTGAGAGCGGGAGAGGGCTGGGCTTCCTGGAGCATTAGGGGAACATGGGCCTGGGAGCCTCCGCTGTTGGGGCTACGTTGTCCTTATCCACTAGCACCCACATTGGGGAGGTGCCGCTGGTGGCATTGGCTCCGCCGACTGTGTGGTTTCGGGGCCGTTGAGCTTTGGTGGGGTGGTGGTCTGGCAGGCACACTAGGTGGTGGGCAGCACACGTATCTTCTCCCCGCCGACAGCAGTGGGTCCAGTGGCCCCCATGCCTGGGATTCCTGGGCAGACGCAATGTGGCATGGGGCCAGCGGACGGGGACCCCGTGTTACGGGCGGGCACTGCTGGGCTGCGGCGCGGCAGCGGCCTGGGCAGGGGCACGAGAGGCCGGACGGTCTTTCTGATCCTTTCCCTTCTGGCCCAGGGGAGACACAAGAGTGACAGAACCATCAACAACAGACCCTGCCAGATTCTAATGGGGAAGAGGTGAGGCTGGGGCTGCAGCTGGGGATCCCCCAGGACACAGGGGCTCCAGCCCAGCAGGGTCATCGGCCTCGGCAGGGCAGCGTGCCTGGCCAAGTGTCCATCACCTTCCATGCTCCCCAGTCTCCCGGCTGGTTGAGTCGGACGGGAACTGGCCTGCATTCATTAGGCGTTTGGCTGGGGTGAGGACAGAGGCCAAGGCCCCGATGGCAAACCCCTGCAGAGCTTAGGGCTGGGGCGATGGGGAGGACAAGGAAAGTCTGAAGAGGACGTGGGTGCAGGACCCTGGAGGTCACTGGGTGGGAGCGTGGACCTGCGGGGAGTGGGGTGGGAGGCCGGGGAAGGCTTCCGGAGGGGGCAAAGGCCTGGAGGTGGGGACTGCAGCCACAGGCCCCACGACATCCGCTTCCTCTGCTCTCCCCGTGTGGGGAGGGTCGGCAGAGGGAGGGGCCTCCTTCACAACCCCCTCTCCCCGCAGCTTCAAGCGGAAGAAATGGCAGAATCTGTGCGTGGGGGATGTGGTCTGTCTCCACAAGGACAACATTGTCCCGGTGAGCTGGGGTTGACCCTGAGGTCCCAGAGCCACGCCCCCGCACCGAGAGCGCCCCTCCCAGGGTGGGGAGGGCTGCCACACCCCCAACTTATCTTGCATCCCCTCTTGCAACGCTGCTCCCCACTCCACCCCAGGCTGACATGCTCTTGCTGGCCAGCACGGAGCCCAGCAGCCTGTGCTACGTGGAGACGGTGGACATTGACGGGTGAGGAGCTGTGGCATCGCTGGGGACCCTGGGCGGTGGGGCACATGGTCCGGAGGAGCCCCCTTCCCCGATCACCAAGGAGGCGGCCAGCCAAGGTCACCCAGAGATTCTGGTCACTCACCCCATGAGTGTCTGGGGGGTGGGTGCTGCCAGGCACTGAGGGGAGGAAGACGCCCACTCTCCCCACTGTTTCATTGCTGGAGGCCCCCTTGTGTGCAGCCCTAGGCCCTGGCCTCAGCACTTTGGCAAACATGCTGTGTGGCCTTGGGCAAGGCCTTCTCCCTCTCTGGACCTCAGTCATCTGACTGGCAGCTGGCAAACTAGTAGGTGCTCAGTGAAAATGTCTGAGTGACTCCAGAAGGGGTCCGGGGGCTCCTCGAAGCAACCGTCACCCCATTTTCACCTCTCTTCACCTCCCTCCTCTCCTCGTCACCAGGGAGACCAACTTGAAGTTCAGACAGGCCCTGATGGTCACCCACAAAGAACTGACCTCTGTAAAGAAGATGGCATCCTTTCAAGGTGAGCGGCATTGAGCAGGGAGTCACGTCCCCCAAATCTGTAAAAGTTAAACGTTAAGGTATTTTGTTGTTGTTATTACTGTCTTACAAAAAAATGTGCTGGCCAGGCCCAGTGGCTCACGCCTGGAATCCCAGCACTTTGGGAGGCTGAGGCAGGAGAATCACTTGAGCCCAGGAATTCAAGACCAGCCTGGGCAACATCGCGAGACCCCATCTCCACAAAAAATAAAACAATTAGCTGGGCATGGTGGCATGTGCCGGTGGTCCCAGCTACTTGGGAGGCTGAGGTAGGAGGCTCGCTTGAGCCCAGGGAGGCTGAGGCTGCAGTGAACTGTGATCACATCACTGCACTCAGCCTGGGCAACAGAGTGAGGCCCCTGTGTCAAAACCACAAATAAAATGCTACATTCTATTAAGTGTAAAATTTAACCACAACGCAGTCACATTTGGTTGTTTCATTGAAAAGGCACCTGCGTGCGTGGGCTGGCGATTCCTGTGGTGGGAATGGCCTCTAAGAACGGAGTGCTGACCCCGTCCCACTGCTTGGCTGCTTCTTTTCCTTTTCTTTTCTTTTTGAGATGGAGTTTCGCTCCTGTTGCCCAGGCTGGAGTGCGGTGGTATAATCTCAGCTCACCGCAACCTCTGCCTCCCAGGTTCAAGCGTTTCTCCTGCCTCAGCCTCCCGAGGAGCTGGGATTACAGGCACCTGCCACCACGCCTGGCTAATTTTTGTATTTTTAGTACAGACGGGGTTTCATCATATTGGTCAGGCTGGTCTCAAACTCCTGACCTCAGGTGATCCGCCTTGGCCTCTGAAAGTGCTGGGATTATAGGCGTGAGCCACCGCACCTGGCCAGCTCCCTTATTTAACACCGTCAGGGCACAGAATCATAGACGGACAGTGACTCTTCCTCTGGCACTCCTCCCGGGGTGAGCAAGGATGCTTTTGCGGGCCCTGGCCTCCTCCCTCTGCCCCAGCATTCTCACCGGGCACGGACCCATTTTTCAGAGGAAGAGACTGAGGTTCAGAGAGGTGGCCTGAGGTGTGGGCTTGCCCTGTAGTTCCTCTGCCCTCTGGCCATCCCACCATGGATGTCTCCAGTTCCTACATTCAGGACGGAGTCAGGCTCCCCATCCCTAAGACGTGATGGGGAGGCAGATGAGGACCCTTCAGGAACCCTGTGGCCCCTCTCCCTTCTGGGGTCCCAACCCACGCCTCATTGTCATTTTAACCCTCACCAAATGCTGCCCGGGCCAGTCCGTGTGGTCCGAACCTGTTTCCTCCAGCGGAAGTGAGAACATCGCAGGGTGTTGGGGAATGGGGGGTGGTGGTGGACGGGCTCCGGCACCCAGGAGGAGGCTCATCGATCAGGTGTCCCTTCTCCTCTTCCCTCTTGACACATTTATTGAGCACCTACTGTGTGCAGGTGCTGGGCCGTGCCCCGGGGTGAGTGTGTGGCTGAGACGAGGCTGGCGCCCGTTCTCAGGGAGCTCACAGACAGTAACAATAGCTTTGCACAAATAAACATCGCATCATGTGCTGGGATCAGAACCACGAGGGCGGGAGCTAGGAGCTAGGAGGGGCTGATCTGGCTGGAGGATCAGAGAAGTGTGAGTCCCCATGGAAGGAACAACCTGCCCAAAGTCCCTGAGGCCAGGCGGGGACAGGAGGGCTTTGGAGCCTTCCTGAGGCAGCCCTGTGCTGGGGCGCCAGAGGGCAAGTTTGGGGCACTGAGGGGCTTGTGAGGGTGGCCAGAATGTTCTCACCTGCACCCGGTGCAGGGAACCTGGGGAGGAGGGCCTGAGCCCACTGACCACTGACCACCTGGCTGCCCACAGGCACGGTGACGTGTGAGGCGCCCAACAGCCGGTTGCACCACTTCGTGGGGTGCCTGGAATGGAATGACAAGAAATACTCCCTGGACATTGGCAACCTCCTCCTCCGAGGCTGCAGGATTCGCAACACAGACACCTGCTATGGAATGGTCATTTATGCTGGTACGGCTGCTCCAGGGTCCTGGAATGGGAGCTGTCCCGATGGGGACGTGGTGGATGGATGTGGGGATGGGTGGGTGGATGGGTGCATGGATGGATAGACAAATAGATGGGTAGATGGGTAAATGGGTGGGTGGGTGGATGGATGTGGGGATGGGTGGGTAGATGGATAGACAAATAGGTGAGTAGATGGGGGCGTGGTGGATGGATGTGGGATCGGTGAGTGATGGGTGGGTAGATGGGTGGGTGGACGAGTGGGTGGGTGGGTGGATGGATGGATAGATGGATATGTGTTTGCAAACCTTGCAGGTTTTGACACAAAAATTATGAAGAACTGTGGCAAGATCCATTTGAAGAGAACCAAGCTAGACCTCCTGATGAACAAGCTGGTGGTTGTGGTGAGCTGCCAACAAGTGCCCTTGCCCCCAGGAACACAGAGGAGGGTCGGTCAGGGATGTCATCTTCCAGGCCTCAGTTTCCTTCTTCTGCAAAATGTGTAGCCTGATCCTGTGGGCAGGTCTTTGGGCCAGAAAATCTTTCATTAAAGTAATTAAAAAAAAAAGTTTTATAAAATAATAATGATTATTTATTTAAATTATTATTTTTTTTAGAGATGGAGTCTTGCTTTGTCACCCAGGCTGGAGTGCAGTGGCACAATCTTGGTTCACTGCAACCTCTGCCTCCCGGGTTCAAGCAATTCTCCTGCCTCAGCCTCT